ACATGCATGCGGAATAATATGTGAAATACTTTCTTTCGAGTTCTCTTAGTGGGGTTGACTTAAGATTAACAAATGTAGTAGCTTCTGTGCTTGGAGGGCCCCAAGAATCCCCTGGCCCCAAAAAACCCAACTCGGCCCGGTTGCCTGGATGCCCGAAAGTTCCTGTCTCCAGGTGACTCCTTAGGGGTAGACGCACTGTTACTTGGGACTGAGAACGACAGATATATTTTGAAAATAGATTAACCTATCTGCAAGTAGGCTCCTTATCTAAATTTTCACAAAACGAATCCCTCCAGCAAACCCGGGGAGAAGGAAGTTAAAATAGCGTGAAGCAAATGTGAACTCCAACTCTGAGCAGCCTGTAGCCGAGTGCCCTGTCAGCAAAGGCATTTTCTGAGAAGGGAGGGAGATGCTGGAACCTTCTTGGCTGCCTCCCAAATTCCCCATCATTTGTCAGCCTGGGACCCTATGTTGCATCTGGGCTTGTTCCCCGTTTCAGAGCTCAGATCATGTATGAACGGTCACATGTTGCATTTACAAAACAATCTACCCGGTGCTCAGTTATCTTTGAGTGGAAAGGGGACAAAAATCAATTGCGAGGGTTTTAGATAAGTCTTTGCTTCATTTTGCTTGTAAACACATAATCATCTTACTTGATTTTATGACTTTGGTTTGAAGTGCTAAGCTTCCTGGACTTTTGTTTTGTTTTTTTTTTTTTCCTTTTCGTAAAGGAGGGTGTAGTGCTGGGGTTTTGCTGTAACCTCACATCTCAGTCTGCAAAATCTTGTAAAGAGCTCTGGGATCCAGTGCTGGGATAAGTCTCCTATGACGGGATTAGTATCCGTGCGTGTGGCGAGGTGCAATCTTGGTGAAGTTCCCAGACTGGTTCGCTGTGGGTGAATGTCCAATTCTTTTACAACTGCTTCCATTGTTATCTGCACTCTAATGTCTCCATTGTCCAAGGAAATGTATTTATGGGGACAGGCTGATGCAACAGATAAGATACATGGACTGGATGTAAAAGTACTTTGCAAGGAAGGTGATTCAAACACAATTCACGTTGGGGTAGGGAATGGATTTTTGAAATAAAGGAAATTTCCGGATGTTAATGTGAGTTATTTCACTTAATGGAATTGGCACAGGACATCCCAGAGGTTACAAATCCCTCGCCTGGCCAGGGTGAGCAGGATATCACGTTTCCCGACAGCCTGCCTTGCTCGCCTTGAGGTGACTTTGTATGAAAAAAAAAATGCCATCAATCATTAGAGAAGATCAACTCTTGTTGCTTTATCTCTAAGAGAAGTCTATTCTTGTCTGTTTTTCTTTGAGCTAGAAGGTCTAGGCTGGATGTGACAGGTAGCTTTTTGGAATGTCCATCATCTTCCCAAAGGGGTCTTTAAATGAACCTGTCATTTTGTGCCCAAACAAGTAGTGTTTTAGGACCTGCTGCCCAAGCACATTTAAAAATGACAACCACACCTTTGTGTGGTTTTTCTTTTTTTTTTTTTTTTTTTTTTTTCAACGTTTATTTATTTTTGGGACAGAGAGAGACAGAGCATGAACGGGGGAGGGGCAGAGAGAGAGGGAGACACAGAATCAGAAACAGCCTCCAGGCTCTGAGCCATCAGCCTAGAGCCTGACGCGGGGCTCGAACTCACGGACCGCGAGATCGTGACCTGGCTGAAGTCGGATGCTTAACCGACTGCGCCACCCAGGCGCCCCTGTGTGGTTTTTCAAAGAGGAGTCCTATTCCCCACAGTACAGCAGGAGTTTCTATGTTGTACGACTATCTGAACCTGGTATTCTGTCTCAAGAGCTCTGGTACCCCCAACTTGCCCTCGTTGTGGACTGGCTGCTCCACCCGGAGAAGTAAATGATTCAGTCTAGATGAATGGGTAAAGAAGATGAGGTATATTCCTACAATGGAATATTACTTGGTGATCAAAAAGAATGAAATCTTGCCATTCACAGCAGCATGGATGGAACTGGAGGGTATTATGCTAAGTGAAATAAGTCAGTCCGAGAAAGACAGATATCATGATTTCACTCATATATGGAACTTGAGAAACACAACAGATGAACACAGGGGAAGGGAAGGAAAGTAAGATAAAAACAGAGAGAGGGAAGCAAATCACAAGGGACTCTAATGACACAGAACAAACTGAGGGTTGCCAGTGGGGAGTGGGCGGGATGGAGGGCACTTGTTGGGATGAGCACTGGGTGTCATGTGTAGGTGATGAGTCACCGGGTCCTACTCCTGAAACCAATACTACACTGTATGCTAATTCACTTGAATTTAAATAAATAAGTAAACAAATACATAAATAAAATGATTCCGTCTAGGCCTTGAGGTCCTTGAGGGCATCGGAAAAGCTTGTTCTGTACATGTATGCTTACAAATGGGACCCTGCATATCTGGCCCGGGAAGAGAGAACGTTCCATCTCGTGCCATCTGCTTGCTCCTTGAAAAGTGACCGGAAGTGAAGGGGTACCATCTCTGAAATAATAAACTCAGCAGGGGAAGAGAGCTTGCCTCGTCAAAATTGGATTCACACCTATGTTAAGGGAGCATATACATTCCGTTAAATCAGATTTGCCTCATCTGGGGAAACCGAGGCAGCGGTATAAACAAAAATGCGTAAGGGTGGGGAGAGAAGGTAAGAATTAGCCAGTTAAGCAGCTTCCCTTCCCTTGCCTCTTCCACGCTCCTCCTGCCTGGAGGCCAGCCAGCTGTCCTGTACCACCCACACTCGCCAGTACATTAGAGTCGATTATTTGTCTCTTTTTGTCAGCATTGAAATGAGGAGTCAGGCCCTGCCAAGGTGGCTCCACTGAGTGGGGCAATGATTTATAGATTAATTATTTTAAGGAACAAGGCAGCACAGCATGATGAAGTGGAAAGAGTGGTGTGCTAGGCGAAGACCCACATTTTAGTGCTGGCTCTGATCCTTAATAGCTGTTTGACTTTGGGCAAATCACTTAACCTCTCTGGGCCTTAGTCTCCTTATCTGTAAGTTGGGAATAACAACAATTGACGGTGGTGGCGATCCAATAAAATCCTGGCTCCGAAAGCATTTTGTTAACTCTAGGGCACGAAACATATGTAAAGGATTGCTGTTAGGTTTCTAGGGACATGCACGGTGACACCACTCAGCTGCTGAGGGGCTCCACTGTGTCACAGGACCTCAGGAAGTACCCTTAGAAGTCACATAGAAGAGAAAGTCCTGAATCTGTTGCCCTTATAAGCAGTTCCACAAATCTGCTCAACTGTACGACAGGAAGGGAAATGGGTCAATTATAAATAGTGTTAATAATACTTCACTCCGTAACACTAAAGGGCCCCCAAATGCCCCAAATGTTTTATGAGCATTAACTTTTCAACATTAAGAACAATTTGGGATATGAGGTATAAGTTACAGTTTATAGTCTTTCCATTATCTGTGCATATGGAGGGGAGAAAATGGCGGGTTATCCTAGAAAGTGGAAAACCCCAAAGTCACATAGTATAGGATGGGGTTTCCTGACGAACGGGAAAACCCATAGTACCTGATATGGTTCATAATGTTTTCTTGAGGCTGTAAACCAGGGGAGGCACTAAGAGATCATTTATGTGATACAATTATTCTGCGGGGAGTCCATGAGGTTGATAAGCCATATGTACATAGTTCTTACTTTTCTTGAGCATGATACTTTCATTTCACAGGCGAAGAAAATAAAGGCATGTCTTAAGCCAGGTCATCTAACTTCCCCATCTACGGCTCTGCCCAGGAGATCTCGTTTCTAGAATTCTGACTGAAACCCTCACTGCCTCCCACACAGAGAGGGGTGGACTCTTTGGACTGGTTTTACCTCTCAATTCAGGGGCATATCAGCAGTAAATGTCCTGTTGGAGACTGGTGGTAGAATCAAAACAGACAATTGACTTGTGCCTGTAGACAGCTGTAGTGGCATTACAAAATCACTGAAGTCTGTGCCTGTGTGTCACCAACAGAACTGCCCGAAAAAGTGAGTGCTGGATTGTTTTGTCCACGTCACGCCTTTGGACTGGTTTGACTGCTTCTTACTGGAATTGGGTGGTTGTTTGGCGTTGCATTTCCACAGCCTAAAGGTTACCACATTTTCACCGGGAGCGAATTTGTACTGTGAGTGAAGAAAGTGCGAGCTTCCCGGGTATCCAGGCACTCAAGGCAGGCCCGGCCTCAATTGTGACTGATTGTTTCCCTCGGGCTGGCAGTTGCTCTGGGGCTGATATTGAATGTTACTATATTGGGAAAGTTGGTCACATCATCCTAACACGAAGAAGGGACAGGCAGACAGAGTGCTGTGGTGCTCGGAGGCTTTGCGTGTGGCAGAAAGGCAGGTTTGACAGAGATCTCTGGTTAACTGCGGGGAACTGTGCCTGGTAAGGACGTGAAAACCCTGAAACCTTTCATGTCCTCCGGACAGCTGTCTCTGAGCACCACCGGACACATCTGGGTGCTAGTCCTTTACCCCTCTGGCCCTTCATAGTGTATTCACGGCAACAGTATCACTCACCGATTCCTCCTTTGCACCTGCCTTTGCCCAGATGTTGCCTGTTGTCTCATGTCCTTGTGTGGGTGCCTGCCGGGTCCTTCCACGTAAAGTATAAACTACCCCCGGAGCAGGGAGCTGGGTCAAGTGTAGTGAGCCTGATGACCATCTCCCCAGCACGCTGGGAGAGATTCTGGAGGGCCTCCCTACTAAACCCATTTCTCCACCCAGACTTTCTTGGTGGCTGAAATTGCTACTAGCAGAGCACTTCAGCTGGCTAATGACAAAGAATGCTCCTATTAGAGTGTTCATTTAAGGACACTGAACCATTATCAGCCGTTAGCACCCTCTCTCGAATTAGTGTATCCTATACGCTAGTCAGTCACCCAGAAAAGCTTTGTTGCGATGGGACTTCAGATCAGGGCGGCTGTGTGGTTTTCCAACCTAAACCGCCAGTTGCGGATCTTGCGTCGGGTCCCAAGACTTACCCTCAGTCTCCTTTCAAACGCCGAAACGTTGCCTTTGTTTTGCTCCTTGCGCTGCCGCCACTCGATGAGGTTTGCATTGTGCTCTCCGGGCAGGGAGATGTTGCATTTGCCCAGGGTGGGGTTGACCGCCCCGGCCAAGATGTGCGGCTCCGAGCTGAGGCTGATCTCCATCCCGCTGGCGAAGGTGACGCGCAGAGAGCCGTCCGGACTCACACGATAGGTGCTCTGGGTATTTTCTGTAGACAGAGGAGCAAAGGAGGAAGAGGGGGAGAAAGGGAAGCACGGCAGGCAGAGAAGAGACCAGCGGAGCCTCAGGAGGCAAGTCTGGGGCGGGGTGAGCAGAGGGGCCGCTACGGGCCCAACTGCCTTCTGGGCTAGCCAACCCCTCTGACAGGCCGATGCGCTCTCTGTCCGTCTGGGTCTCGTTATTTTCATAGCTGGGGTACCTTGTTTCTCGGATCAAAGATTCCTAATACTGCAGGCTGTGTTTGGCTTTCTCTTTTTCAGTTTTAAAGAATTCCCTCACAGAATCCATCTGGGACCTGGCGGGTTGGCCTCCTCATTTTGACACGCTGGGAGCTAGAAGGAGAAGACGAAGTTCAACTCTGCCTCCTTACTGCCTGGGGACACCCGCTGACCTAGCGACACGGTAACACTGACAGAGGTTGCTACCACCGGTCCTTTCAGAGTGAACCTGAACTCTGGACACTTGGGCGTCTGGGCCCATAACCTAACAACGGAATCAGTCCTTCATGGCTGGGCAGAGAGAAAACAAGACATTCCCGCCAAATGCAACCCTCCCTCCCTCCCTCCCTTCCATTCTCTTCTGTTTTCTTCCCTCCCTCTCCCTCCTTCTCCCCTTCTGCCCCTTCTCCCCTCCCTCGCTCCAGGCTTCCTTTCCCTTTTCTTCCATTCTTACTTTTCTCTCTGACTAGAATGAGATTTTAATTCTCTCGGTTCACTTACATTCTTGCCTCACGTCAGCATTGATCTAGAATGCTAATCTCAGCTGGGGCACAGACTTCATTTCTTTAATATAACCCAATCAGAGCCCGAAAGAGCTTTACAAACAGCTGGGTGTTGGGAAATGACCTGAAGGAGGAGCGGATTTGTCAGGGATTTAACCTCACAGCTCCCACAGAGATGTGGCCCAATGTGGCAACGTGAACTTTGTGAAAGGTGTGGTTTCGTTTGGGTTTTAGCCTCTGTAGCTGGAAAATAGGGAGGAGAAGCCATCTCCTCAGCCAGGAGCGAATTCTATTTATTAATGGCGCGCAGAGGTTTGAAGGCAGAAGTTAAGATAGGCGAAGTGGGAAGTATCCTTACCTTGTTTTAAAATATATATGGTACTAGTTGCTGTCAGGTTGGTTGACATGAGGACATTTTCACGGTTGGAAGTATCTAGTTCCACTTTTGTCAGCTTCTCCAGGTCGCTGTGGAAGCTGCTGACCTCTCCAGTGGGAAACGTCGCATTGGTCAGATGTCCCTCGGGGTCATACCTGAGGAATGTAACCGATCCCGACTTTGAAGCCTCTTGGCAGTGATAACAGGCCTTTGCAAATAAAAATCACTTGGCAGCTAATACAGTTTAACTTTGAGTGATAACAAGTATTATTAACCTTGTTCAATAAGAAGAAAAAGGTCAGAGAGATGATTAATCAAACGAAGGTATTTCTTGCAGCTTCTGAATTCTTGATGACTTCCTTGAGCTGTGCTGTTTTACAGAAAAAAATATATCTGGTAATGAATCACCAGGGTGGAAAACTGATTTATGAATCATGTCCTGCTGTGTGTAATGTTGCAGGGAGGCCTCCGTTTGCAATTTGGGTCGATCCCATTAGATGTGATGGATAACAGACGCCAGCAGAGGGTGCTGTTGGCAAAGGAAAAAAGGGCAAGAACCGCCCCAATGTCTGGAAGGGCAATAAACTGATTTTGCATTGTGATAGGAAAATTATATTTGCCGTTTAAGTTGCCAAATTTGAAATGAATGAATCATTCTTTCAACAAAATGAACAAGGACGGAGGATAATGGAAACATGTTCATCAAAACATTCTGGAGCCCCCTGATCCCAGTGTCACTTAATTTTTTTTTTTAATCTTTTTAGAGTATAGTACATAATGCGTTGTAATTTGCCTATATGAGTAAGAGACAAAAAAAATAATTACCTGGGATAATAGGCAATAACATATATCTGGAAATATAGTCTAGTGAGTTTCCTTTTTTAAAAAAAAAAGTCGGAATGATTGGCAATCTCACTGTCCTCCAAATGGAAACTGCTTCCCTGAAGGCTTTTGATGTGGAGCTGTTCTTTTATTGCCAATAGAACCATGAAAAATAAACACTTCATTAAAAGTAAAGGCATGCACTTGGAAACCCATTACTGTTTTCTTTTCAAGTTGCAAATTACAAAATATTTAAGCACTTTTATTTGCTTTTAATATGTTAAACAATTATATTCTTTTTACCCAAAGTGAGCAGGGTACAGCCTGGACATGATGGCGAAGTCTGGTTTCACTATTTCCTCCCCCGACAATTATGCAAAATGGCACAGTGATTTAGTGTTAGTTCACTAGGTTTTAAAGAACTCAGCCTGGAGAGTTGCTCAAATGTTAAAACCTACACCAGCCTTTGGTAGGCTTGGGAGAGGGGGCTGGACCTTATCTTATCAGACGGAACTGAACTTGAGGCTATACACAGTGCCACCCCAAGCTCGGTGCCACGTGTATGCGTGCATGCGCACGCGCACACACACATGCTAATTGTTTAGACAGTCATGTATGCATATAAAAACAATCAGATAGGTCATTTGACGTCACAGACATGCCAAGCCCAATCGTTTAATTGGATGCATCCTTTGTTTAAGTGCATTTTAGTCCAAATGGTCATTGGTGTGTTGCTACTATGCAGCTAAGGCCTCATTATCAAGCAAAGGCCGAAGGGTACTGTTTGTGCCTGGGGTTGACGGCAGAATCCTGGGCCCGGCTCAGCCTGTTTGCCCATGGTCTGCTCTGGGGCTCTGTGGCTGCAAATCCCAGGCCCCTGATGAGAAAGAGGCATGGAAGGGCTTGAGTGCCCAGCACGGTCTCAACCCGTCTGCCTGGTCTTCCTTCCAGGATAGGAAAACAACGTCTACCTTTAATCATCCCAGGGTGCCAAGCTGCTTTTTCCCTGCGGCAAAGTGTTTCCAAGAAGCAGAGAGAAGGAAGCTGCCTTCCTCACAAGGGAGACTGGGGCCCCACAGCCGGGATTATGCAGACAGCTCCTCTCTGTTTCACATCCATCGACAGCAACTCTGCCTCATTGGATTACCCTTCCTGATTTCTAAGTGGTTTCCTCAAATCATGGCAAGGTCACTCATGGTCATTCCCCCAGGAAATCTGACTTAAGATGCTATGCATGCAAGTTCCCAACAGGCTTTCCAGCTTGGGGCAATTTCCTTCTTTCTCAGTCACCCGGCCTCTTGTTTTAAAGCAAGATTTCATCTAAAGGGGAGGGCAGTGGATGTGTCCACTCCTCAGGGCAAGATGACAAGATCAGATGCCATCCGAGCCATCCATAAGCAGAGGTACAAGTGCCAAAAATTCCAACGAGACTTAGCAGTGGCCAGTGGATAACTCTGGTTTCCTAAACCCTTCTCCTCCAGACACCTTTTAAGCTCAGTCACTGGTGCTCTTTGTCTGAGATTATACATTTAAAAGCTTATTCCCCAGAGCACAGCCATGTTCCTACATATTCTGTTCCCATCCCCACTCTCCAAATTGACAGGAGGACATTTGGAGAGGAAAGATAAATAGTGCTGGATAAGACTGTGATTACCTGGAAAGATCTAGCTGGGAGGTGGCTGCCTGATCCTTTTCTGGTGAAAGAAACAATGGTGTTGGGGATCAGGTAGAATTTTCCATAGCCCTTCCCAGTTGCTGGGTAGTTCGAAAGTTATATTGCCTGATTTCCTTTCCATGGCTGGACATGCATCCTTCTTGAAAATGCATATTTGACTTTAAGTCTATCATAAACAAAGCACTGTACCTGGAGGGCGTAATGCTAAGTGAAATATGTCAGACAAAGACAAATAGTGTATGATCTCACTTACGTGTAGAATCTAAAACAAAAAAGAAACCGCACATACCAAACTCAGAAAATATCAGATTTGTGGTTACCAGAGGTGGGGTGGGTGGGGGAATTGAAGAAAGGTAGTCAAAAGGCACAAACTGCCAGTTAGAAGGTAAATAAATACTGGGGATGTAATGCACAACATGACGACTATAGCTCCCACTGATGTATGGTATATAGGAAAGCTGCTAAGAGAGCAGATCGTAAAAGTTCTCATCAGAAGGAAAAAACTGTTTCTCTCTCTCTCTCTCTTTATGAGATGATGGATGTTAACTAAACTCGTTTTGGTAATCATTTCTCAATATTAGAAGTCAAGTAATTAGGCTGTACACCTTAAGCTTCTACAGTGCTGTGTGTCAATTATATCTCAATAAAAATGAAGGAAGAAATACCCCCAAAATAGCCCTGAAGCACTTTATCCAACACACTGACATACCCCAGTTCTGCCAGTCAGTCCTAGCAATCACATTTGGTGGTATCTTCCACGTGGTGTCTCTGTCATTTGTATGGTCCTAGGTCTAAACATATCGCCCACCTCTCTTCCGTGGGGTCACTTCCCAAGGAAGAGTGACAGGCGGAAGTACTCATCAGTGCATAATTCCCACAACTTTGGAAAGATTGCTCAAAAGTGGATAAGAAATAAAGGGAGCCTTTGATTTCCTATGGCTTACTTGAGGTTTTTCTCTCCGTCACAGGGGAATGCATGTTTCCAGACTGAATGTCAAAGATACAAGTTTAATCAAAACCTCTTATGTTGTGTGTTTCCCTTTGGTGCCTGCATCCTTTGGTGCAGAGTACAAGCCAATATGCTGCAACCCATCCCCTCAGGCCACAACATGGTAGCAAGCCCCTCCTTCTCGTGGCTCAGAGTAGCACTCGCTTAACGAGGCCTGCGAATGCTGGCTGGTGAATTGTGTGATCAGGTGATGACTGTAGTCTTCATAGTCATCAGAAGCGGGTCTAGTAAGAGGAGATTTGCCATCAGATTGTCCCTTCCTGTCGCGATTTTACAGAATTCCACTATTGAGGGTCTCGCAGGACACCAATCAGTGAAGAATTGAGTATAACTCCTGTTCTGCTCAGCACCTTGATACACCACGTGCACCTGGATGTGTGTGTGTGTGTGTGTGTGTGTGTGTGTGTGTGTGTGTGCATGCGCATGCCCCCATTGGAGCAAAGAAGACATTTGTAAAGGAAGTTCAGAATTCATTCTGGTCCTGGGGGCGCATATAGTTTCGTTAGGGTAGGGTGATATTTACACATTATGAAAAATATATTTGGTCTGATATTTTCTCATAAGGGATAGCCTGCCCTGTTCCCTTGAGGATAATTTAAGCCACAGCTAAACCATGCAGCATAAAAACTAGAAGCTCCTCCACCTTGCTTTGAAGAAAATATTAAAGATTATAGAAGGAAATTCATGACTTATATTTTAAAGGAAAACAGACCATTTTCCCTTTCTTATGCCAGAAACCTAACCAACCTAATATAAGCATTCTGTGGAAAATGCTGGAGTCCCCTTCCTCACCAATAACTTCATTTGGCTTCTTTTGATTCGGCTCCAAGTCCATAATGCCCTTCTATCTCCACTTGTCCTTTATTCAATAAGTATCAGTCTTGTGTGAGGTACCAGAGGTACAGTGCTGAATGAAATTCAAAGCCTAGCGGGGCAGATAAGACATTCACACAAATCACTCTAATGCCAGAATATTGCCATGTGCTTCTGTAAACAAGCTATAGAAGCTCAGAGGAGGTAGAAGTCTTTCCAGCTGGGCTGAACAGAAAAGGAAGAGAAGGAGATGGTATTTAAATTCTAGAAGGTAGGTAACGCTCAACTCTTGGTAGGTAGAGATGGGAGTGGAGAGGAAGGCATTCCAAAGAGAGGTGATGGTATGAAGAAAAGCATGCAGGTGGCTGGGATGTCCTTTAAAAGAACTGGGTTGGGGCACCTGGGTGGCTCAGTCCGTTAAGCGTCTGACTTCAGCTCAGGTCACGATCTTGTGGTTCGTGGATTCGAGCCCCGCCTCGGGCTCTGTACTGACATTGTGAAGCTGGCTTGGGATTCTCTCCCTCCCTCTCTCTCTCTCTGCCCCATCCTGCTCTTTCGCTCAAAATAAACTTAAAAAAAAAAAAAAAAAAGGACTGGCTTGCTGGGGCACAAGGTTCCTCTAGGAGGGTAGTGGGAGATAAGGTTGAGAGGCATGTTGGAACCAGAGCAGAGGGGAACTGGGGTACCAGGCTCTGAAGGAAAGCAGGTAGTCAGTAGAGAGTGGAGAGGCATAGAAGCCTTTTAGGGAGAGAAGAGTGTGATGAAAGCAGTACTTTGGTGGCAGCAGATCTTAGAAAGGGATATGTGGAGCAGGAAGGCATGTTGGAAGGCTGCAG